GGAAGGAAACTGCTGTCCTTAGCTGGTTAGGCTTACATGTGACTCCAAATCTTCAGCAATGTGACTAACTCTCAACTACCCTCTGAAGTGGCCAAGCAAGCCACTCCATTGTCTAAAAATTCTGGAGAAGAAATTAAACAGGGCAGAGCACCTGACATCTATGTAGGCACTAGAAACAACAGCAAAAAAACCACGTTGTTTTCTTTGCCATGTCATGGTGAGGAGGACAAGTACCAAAAAAAATCATTACTTTATGTAATCATAGTATTGTTATACTCAGTTGCACCTTGCAATGCTCCAGACAATATCATCATTATGCAGGGATTATGCCCTGTCATGCCAGTAGGATAAACCTACCAGAAGTGATGTTCTGGAGTTGTTGTCCTGGAAGTCCTCAACATTGAGTCTGGATGCCATGAGGCCTCAGGGTGTCAGGTTAAACATCAAGGAAATGAGCTGATAATTACCACATACTGTCCTCCCTCATCTGATTGATCAGTGCTCTTTCATGTTGAACACCACTTTGAAACACTGTGTGGCAAGGGTGCTATATGTATTCCAGATTGGATACTTCAATATCCAGCAAGAGTGGCTCATCTCATTGAGTTGTAAAGGCATAACTGCTAGACTGGATCTGACAGGTGGTGAGGGGACCAACAAGAGTGTTCCAATTAATCTTCTCCAGTCTGCTTGTCACACATGCATCTCTCTGACAATATTGATAAGCGTGACCACCTCACTTCCTTGAAGTCCTTGGGATTGAGAATTGCCAGTGCACAGTGAGAATTGCACGAAGAAATTATTTCAAACCACTCTAGCAGCTTGAGTGGGCGTATGGATTGCTGTGGGCCATCAGCAGAATTCTGTTCCAACACAATCTGCACCCTCATGGCTTGGCATATCTCCCACTCGACCATTATCAGCAAGCCAGGGAGTGCAGGAGGGCCTACTATGAACAGGACTAAGCATTTCTCAATGAGGTATTAATCTAGTGAAGCTATCAAGCGGAACTGTTTGCATGCCAAGCAGCAAGTGAAAGACAGAGCTAAGTGATCTCAACAAAAAGGTCCAATCTAACCTCTGCAGCCCTGCCACATCAGCCATGAATGGTGTTGGATA